ACCAATCGACAGCCAGCTGGTATAAACGGGAGAGGGACGACACCTCGATCTACGAATAGACAACCGGCTGGTATAAACGGTAGAGGGACGACACGTGTCGTGAACAAGCTTTTATTACCACGTTGCCATTGAAAGTTTTATGTCAAGTTATTTATCTTATATATATATATATATATTAAAGAGTTAGTCCGACCATTTTCTTCTTTACAGACGTGCACGTTATTCGAGTAAATGCAATGTTCAAAACTCTATTAAAGAAACTAGTTGAAACTACTCGTCAAGAAAGTTAAAAACTATGCAAAGAACAATGTTAGATAATGTTCCCTCTTCCTTCTTTATTTTGTTATCAAATCCCTAATGACGTCATTAGATGATAATTGCATACTCTGCTTTATGGAAGGTAATAGTTGACTCATTTAACTGATTAAGTACTTCCGTCTTTATATTGAAAATGATATTCTAAAAAGAAGTAGAAACGTGCCCTACTTCAGGGTGTTTTTTTATTCCTCTTTATCGAGCAAACGATTCTAAAACAAGATGGTAACATACAGTTGACGAATATCGTGACGTAATAACAACAATTTAAGTACAAAAAAAGTATTGCTTTAATCACTAAAAAAAATTCTGCTACATAACTGACAGCCGGGCGTGGCCTAGTGCTTAGCGTGCCCAGACTGTGAATCCACGCATTCATGGTTCGCGACCTGTTACCAAAAAAACCCGCTCTTTTGGACTGTGGGTGCATTATAAGAATGACGGTCAAATTCCACTGTCTGATCAGATAATATTATCGCAAGAGTTGGCTATAGTCAGATAGACTTTGTGTATTTTTTTGCGCAACAAAGCTATTTAACTGTAGTAGTGTCGGACAAGTTGAGGAATTTGGTCTGACTCGGCTAAATCAGATTTAAACGAAACTTAAACAACAAAAGACGGTGGAAGTCAAACAATCGGAGCTCATTACCCAACCCCTCATTAGCATACACTCCAGCACTAATAGGCTCGGTTCTTACATCCGATAACAAGCAGACTTCCAGTTGATCTATCAATGATATTAAAAACCTCGCTGTGGAATATCGATCTATCAATGCTCTTCTTGAAAGTATGACATTCGAATCTTGAACTTTTCTGCTGTGTTTCTGATTGCTCTTTTCTTTCTGTGTTTGTTTAGATATTTGAAAATGTTTGGATGAGTTAAACAATCAAACAAACTAAATTAACACTTGTTGTTTCACTTGAAGTAAAATCAAACTTTTCGTTAAAACTTTTATAGGGTGCGCTAATTATCATTCTTACAACGACGCACTAATTAAAATTGGTCCACTAATAAGCATTACTGCACTGCGCTAATTCACGGTCTTACAGTGTGCACTAATTAACATTTTTACAAAGTACACT